TATAATGATTGTGTGTGTGTGTGTGTGTGTGTGTGTGTGTGTGTGTGTGTGTGTGTGTGTGTGTGGAATTATAACGCATAAAACATGTTATAGTGTCAGTGTGTGTGGAATTAATATGGCTAAAACAGATCATAGAGTCATGTTTTTAGTTTGAGTGAGAGTTTTACAGCACTTTCAACACAATAAGGTCATGTAAGTGCCGAAGATGAGAGGTGTTACAAGAGAGTAACAAACACACACAAAAAAAGGAGGAGACACAAGAACGAAAGATGTTTGATAGGAAAGAGGGAGAAAACCACACCAGAGCACCTGCCAACCACCCACTAAGGTCAAAACACACACACACACACACACATACACACATACACACACACACACACACACACACACACACACACACACACAAAGACACACACACAAACAAAAAAACACAAGGGACAAAATGGAACACTGTCGTTTGTACAGGTGATTGTCTTTCAGACGACAGTCGTCAGAACAAGTTGGGCTGTGTATCAGTAGTACCACTCTCAAACTCCCAAAGTATTATAATTATTCTTCAAACCACACCATGCACTATTCATTAACAATCTCCTAGCTACCAGCTACCATGCCCCGATCTATAAATAGCACTCGTACGGCATCACCCGTACCGCACTGAACAAAGCGAACCATCGAAATGATCGACCGAGCGAACTAATAAATAACCTCCTTCCATTTATTTATCTCTTTTAGGTTTTAGTAGAGAAGTTTTATGGCGCTCGCAACTGCATAAGGTCATAGGAGCGCCAGAAGATTAGAGGTGTTACAAGAGAGTAACAAACATAAAAAAGAAGACGGGGAGATAAGGACGATAGATGTTTGACAGGAAAGAAGAAGCAAACCACACCAGAGCACCCGCCAACCACCCACTTATTTATCTCTGTCCTGAGCCATCCTTCCTAGCTGTTTCCAAGTGAGCTTCATCTCTCTCATGTCCCTTTCCACACATCTCCTCCCTGTTTCCCGTGGCCTACCCCTGCCTCGTGCTCCTTGTGGGTTCCACTGCAGCGACTGTCTTGTGATGTTTCTGCTGAGCTTTCTTATGTTTTTTTTGTTTTTGTAAAGTGTTTTACGGCCCTCGCAACTGCGTAAGGTCATATGAACGCGCTGGACACACCTAATATTTTTAGTTGGTAGGAAATTTTGAATTTTTAGACCACCAAAGGATCTTTAACGTGCGCAACTTGCACATGGGCCCTCTGAGATTTTTCGCCCTTGTCCGAGAAGGCTAGGTGTAGATCTTTCCTACCAGAAGATCAGGGGTGTGGCAGAAAGACAGCTGTAAGGAGGAGCCAAGGAGTAGCAGTAGAAAGGCTGCAGAAAGAGTCAGGAGCCCAGAGGAGGGGGCAAAGGAGGCGAGGGGGTGGGGGCA